GTTCCTGGCTCACCATCTGCCCCCCCACCCCTCCGGGCCATCAGTTCTTGGGGGGCAGAGATTGCACTTTTCGCCTGTGTCTTCCCAGCACCGGCCCATGCCCGGCACATGGAGTGGGCACCGACTGCCGCTGGCGGCCTCTCCTTCCCCCACCTCCCATCTCTGCTTGATCACATCTTACTTCTGCAAGACTGACGGGACACGTCCACTGGGTCGCATTGTCCCTCTGACGTCACGTGACCGTTCAGACACTCCCCGTCTCTTTTCTCTCAATATAATAATGATCTTTCCTTCCTCTGAATCACTGGGTAATTTATCTCCAATTCTATTACTTGCTACTTTTTCCCATAATGTCATGGTTTTCAGTCTGTATTCTCTATTTTACGCATCTCCAGGCTAAGAGCTATCCCTTGCCAATACGGGAGGAGGAGACCTAAAGGGATGCTACTATAAGGAAACTCTGGCATTATTTCGGTTTGTGTCCTTCTAGTTTCTTTCTGTGTATGTAATAGTTGTGTCATCTTCCACAGCCCTGAGCCCAATGTACCTGTGGAGTCCACTTTGTATCCCTTTTTTCCCTGGCTCAGTATTTGATTGGAGAATGTGGTGTCTGAGCTGGCTTAGGCGGACTCCGTGGGCTTGTAAAGTTGCGGCTGCCTCCTGCAGCTCTAGAATAAGGAGGGTAGCGGTTCTAATGGTTTGAAACACAAAAACGACTTTCTTAAAAAAAATCTATGGTGGCATCAGAACCAGGAGCAGAGTAGTTAGAAACCTACTTTTCCCTCATCGGAGTGGTTGGGGGCCTTTGAAAATGGGACTCCTGCATTTGCTTCTCTTCACTGACCAGTGTCCCGCTCTTAGTTGCTGCAGGTGGGCCTGGTCAAACACTCTTCCGCAGGCAGTGGTCATGGAGTCCAGCAGAGTTGTGGGGTTTATTTTAGAGGGCATCTAACATTGTCAGAGAAGTTTTGGTTAGAAACGGAACCAAGTGAGCTCCCCAGCCAGGTCTGAACTTGATTAAGCTCATATTCTTTGTTGTAATTTACTCTAATACCCATTAAATCTGTAAAAGCAAGACTGAAGTACTGTTTATGTGAAAATGTGTGTGTGTGTGTGTGTGTGTTTAGATAGCACGCTTTAAATGAATATAGTACTATGTAATTATTCTGATAGCCCTCTAGTCAGATTACCTTGAAAATCCAAAATGATCTTGCTGAACAGTAAGACATTATGATTTCATGGTTCATCTATATACCTCCTACATAGTTGTATAATACTTGTATCTAACAGGATTACCAAATTACATACCTTTTTGGTATCTGTAACATGCCTAAAATACCAGAGTATTCATTGGCCAGGTATGGTTATGAAACCACATTGACTTTGCCAGATGAGGATTTGTTCATGCATATAGATAGTGTTCAGGTTTCTCATACCATTTTGAGAGATATAAAATACTCTTTTTATTGTATTTAGTCTTTATTCCAATCATTAAATTAAAAAAAAGTGCCTCTTTTCTGGATAACACACTGTGCAACTTTTAATTAACCAAACGTCTGTGCAGGGATAATTGAGCAAATAGGATTATTTTGTGCCTTGACAAATTGCCAGCAGGCTAAACTGGTGAGCAGTGTGGCTGTGTGGTTGTTGGTACCTGCTCAGAGGAGTCCTGGAAGTAGGAGCGATGGCAAGAAGAAAGCAGACAGAGACACCTTTTCCCTCTCTACTGCTTCAGTAGTGCAGAGTATGGTGAGCCTGAGCCCTGAGTTTCATTCACAGCTTTAAGTAGCCTTTGTTTAAAAACTCCCAGATCTGTGTTTCCTATCTTAGCCTTTGTATTAGTTTGTTAGTCCTGCTATAACAAAGTATCCCCAACCTAGATGGCTTTAAAAATAAATGTATTTATTGTCTCACAGTTCTGGAGGGTAGGATCAAGGGTGTCAGCAAGGTTGGTTTCTTCTGAGGGTTGTGAGGGAGAATCTGTTCCATGCCTGTCCCCTAGCTTCTGGCGGTTTGCTGGAAATCTCTGGCATTCCTTGGTTTATAGAAGCATCTGATCTCTACCTTTATCTTCACATGGTGTTCTTCCTGTGTGCATATCTGTGTCCAAACTTCCCCTTTTTATGAGGACTCTAGTCATATTGGATTAGGTGCCCACCCTATTCCGGTCTGAGCTCATTTTTACTAATTACGTTTGCAACAACCCTAGTTGCAAGCAGAGGTCATATTCTGAAGTACTGAGGGTTAAGACTTCAACATGAATTTTTGGGGGAGGATGCAGTTCAACTGCTTTCAGCCCTTCTCCCAAGTTCCACACTGGTGCTTTTGGTTTCCAGCTGGACACCATAGTCAGTGTCCCACCAGAACCTCCAATGTAACACAGTTGGAATTGGTCTCACTGTCTCACAAGGCCTTTCTCTCTTTTTCTTTTTCTCTTACTCTGTGTTTGGTGGTCATATCATCATCCCACTCAGTTAGCCAGCTTGGATGTTTTGGGCCTTTTCCTGGCGCTCAGTCTCCGACATCCATCTCTACCAAGTTCTGTCATTCCTGCCTCAACTGTTTCTCTAACCTTTCCTCTCTTTTCAGTCCTGGTGTGGTAGCGCTGGCTTAGACCCCTGCTGTGCCTTGCTCTCACACTGTCTATCTCCCCATCTTGTCTTTCCTCTGTTAAATTCATCTTCCACACCAATTCCTTTTCTAAGACAAAGATCTGAACCTGATATTTATTAGCGCCCCCCCGCCCCGCCGCCAGAGACCGTCAGTGACTTCTCACTGCTTGCAAAGAAGTCAAGATTTTGTAACTTGGCCTTTAAGGTCTTCCACAGGTGGCTGGTATTACAGCTCAAGCCACTCTTCACCCCTCACAACCTATTAGATACAGGGTGGGCAACACCTGCGTCCTTCCCTAAACACAGCACATCCCATATGTTGTCACCTCTGTGTTTCGCTCTGTTCTTTCCTCAGTGTGGAAGGTCCTCTCTCTGCCCTTCACTCTTCTTCCCATCCCAGCTGGAGTTTGGTCTCAGTCAAATGGAAACCAGAACACCTGGGTTTTAGGCCAGAATGCCAGAAGCCAGTTGCTTCCCCTTCACATAAGTCATTAACTTCTAGTTTTTTTTTTTTTTTTTTTAAGATTTTATTTATTTATTTGCGAGAGAGAGAATGAGAGACAGAGAGCATGAGAGGGAGGAGGGTCAGAGGGAGAAGCAGACTCCCCGCCGAGCAGGGAGCCCGATGCGGGACTCGATCCCAGGACTCCAGGATCATGACCTGAGCCGAAGGCAGTCGCTCAACCAACTGAGCCACCCAGGCGCCCCTAACTTCTAGTTTTCTCAAAAGTAAAACGAGGAGGTTGAAGTAGATGATCTCAAAGATCTTCTCAACTTTAAAATTTCTTCTTTAAATGCCACACCTCCATGAAGCATTCCCCAGGTTTGTGGGCAGAACAAATCACTCTTCTTGTGCCCCCTTAACACTTTATGTCTTCTTTTACTTTTGACCCTCAACTCATGCATTCTGGTGGGCATATATGCACGTGACTACCTCGCACTCCCCCAACAGGCTGTAAGCTCCTCGAGGCCCGCTAAGAATGTTTGACTCAGCTTTGCGTCTCTTCCCATCCTGGTCTTACTTGCACATAGACTCTCAGTGAGACACACTGAGTGGTAGAGAAGATGTTCTGGGCCAACATATTTCTGTAACATATGCTGTTCCTGCTCCTGAAAGTTCCCATGCATTTGGAAGGATGTGTTTTGGATGGTGAATGACAGAAATTGTATATTGAACACACCATGGGATTTTCCTTTCTTTGTGATATTATTATGATCAGGTGACATTCTGGGAAACACTTAACTTTGTAACACTTTGTATAAAAATGTGTTCTCTCTATGAGCTGCTTAGAAGTAATTAAGTGTTTTGAGAAACATAGGAAAACACTCCTGTTTTCTTCCTCCCTCTATATCCTCCAGAGACTTGGACTTCAGTGTATCATTGAAACATTTGGAAATTTAAAATACAGAATACCTCCTTGGAAGTCAAAGCATCTGTGGCCTGTTGTATTGTTCCTAACAACCAGATTTGATTATGTCATGACCTTGCTCAGAAACTTTTCAATCACTCCTTGCTTCCTAGGGAAGAAAAAGCAGTCCCTTTTTTTTTTGTTTTCATGCCCATCTTTGGTCTTATACTTTTAATCTCATTTCACAGTGTTTTCTTTTATGTGCTCTGCTGCCCAGACAAAATCAGTTCCTCACCATTTCCCTTGTACACGCCCTAGCTTTCTTGCACCTGCCTTTCTGCAAGGATCCCCCTGACTAGAGTGCCGGCCTTTCTGTGCCCATTACTACATACCTGAATTTCACTCATTTTTCAAGAGCCAGCTTGCATTCCATTTCTGCTACAAAGCCGCCTTTGATTTCCTACCAGAATTCTGTTCTCATCATATTGCTCCCTGTCTTAAGATTGTATACTGTTTCTAGTTCTAGACTAGTGTTATCTGCCTTATCAGACTAGAACTTCTTTGGCATCACATTTCATGTCTGTTTGTATTCTACCACCCCTACCAATACTACCCCTAGTTGAGTCCACATGTGGTCGGTAGATCTCAGCAATGAATGAGTCTCTGTGAACCATTTTTACATGGTGTATTAATGAATGACAAAGCTGCTCTATATTACTGCTGCTCTGTCACGTCCTAATTTAAAATACCTAATCTTTAATTCTAGAATCCAGCAATATGCGTGAAACAAAAATGCCATGTTGGCTAAAACAGTTACATTTGAAATTGTAATTCGAACCTGTCATGTTCTTTAGATTCTGTACATTGCTGTTTCAGTCCACTGTATGTAAAAGGAAATGCTAAGTGTTTATAAATGTTTTTAGGTTTGAACGTAGTTTTTTGACAGCGATGTTTAATTTTTTCCCTAGTGTCTATTTGTGTATGCTTTTATTTTCTGCAGGCTACTGATTTTATGCTTTGTGCTTGTTTTATGTTGCAGATTAATATCCTTTCAAGAGTTCGTAGCATTTGAATCTGTCCTGTGTGCCCCAGATGCTTTGTTCATGGTGGCCTTTCAACTCTTTGACAAAACTGGCAAAGGAGAAGTTACTTTTGGTAAGGGGTGTGAGTATGTGTGTACCTAAGTAAGTGCAGACTTGTGTGAGCTTTTTGTGTGTGTGTGTGTCCCCAGAAATGAAGTGTATGGAGAAACTTTTTAAGAAGTTAAGCATATCCCTTTTAACAAAGATTGTTCTGTGTTTTGGGGCTCCAGTTCAAATATCTTTCTATTTGAAAAATAGATTTCTGGCCCCGTTTTGATACTCTGGTTTAGTTTTAAGGTGAGGGAGGTTGTGCATGACTTTTTCAGAGTCGTAGGTCATGTGAGCTAAGCAGGACTTCTGTTAATTTCCTTCACAATCAGGGGTGCTTCCCACAGGTAGGAGGAAGACGTTCATAAACTGCCTAAGAACAGAAGGTACCACCTGTGCCCCCGGCGTTTTCAGTCCTTACCTGGTCCCCACGGAGTAGCTTGAGTGCAAAGGCTTTGCACAAGATAGGAGTTCAGGGTGGCAGCAGCAGAACCTCGGTCTCCCAAGAGGACCCCCTTGGCTGGGTCGTTCTCTCTGCCGTGCTGCCACCTTCTTCATTGTGAAAAGCCAGAACTGGCCTCACAGGGATTAGCTGCAGAGTTGCAGAAAACCCACATGTTGTTTTAAGTACTAGGAGAAAGGAAGTAGCAGACCAGGAGTAGGTTCTTTATTAAAAATAAGCTGCTTACTGACGTATAAAAAAAGTGTAAAAATAAACTTTTTTATACTGAAGATAGATTTGACGGAAAGTACCACCTTTTCCTTGGACTGTGTGGTATCCAGCATGTGTTGTTCATGCACGTGACCCTGCTGTAGATAGCACTGCCTGTGAGGAACTGTGGAGCCCTCCTGGGCTTGTGGATTGTTGATTCAGGGGAGATGGTTGAGGTGCCCATTGCAAATGTCTTTATTCATAGTTTCTAGTTCGTTTGGACTTCCTGGGTCTGTCTTACTTGATGGATGGTGAGCAATGTACAGATGGGAGGAGAATACAGATGATATGATAGAGCACCATCTATTCTGGAATAATTCTGGAACTGGAGAGAGACTTCGCTCCTTCTGGCTCTCGGCCTCTGTTGTGTCTGAACAAGTTAATCATCCTCTCAGGTCTTCATTTTCCTTATCAGAAATGAAGACAATAGCTACATAAAGTGTAGGTAAGGCAGTATAATGGACTTATTCTAGAAGCCTTCCCTTTTCTGCATCCATTCGTCCATGTTCCTTTGACATGGCAGTTATTTGAGGCTCGATCAGCTGAGGCAAAACATGGACATATACCTGGTTTTGTTTCATACAGTCTAGAAGCTCAGATGCATTCCATGAACACTCCAGTAGAACACTATGCGGATTATTTCATATTTAAACATCCCTAGAATAACTTTAGTTTTTTCCTTTCCCATCACCCGATTCATCTTAGTATCACTGTAACCACAGCTTTTCCTTGGAACACCAATAAAAAAATGTCCCCGTTGAAATTTTCGAGTGACGAACGAGCAGCCAGCTCATGGTGGCGTTAATTGACCCAGTGGAAGCCAGTTTGATGAATACGGTTCCTGGGGGTTTCCAGAGGAACGCCTGCGCGTCTGAGTGAGTTGGGCAGCCACGTTCACTCGCGCTTCCCCCTCCTGTAGCACGTGTGCAGGCGGGGGTGCAGGAGCTCCGGGGTGGAGATGGGGGGCGCTGGGAAGTGGCCTGCAGTGTTCTCCTTACGTCCAGCGTGAAGCGGTGACTGGCCTGGTGGAGGAAAGAAACAGGAGACTGTCCCCCGTGCAGGGAGACGTGCTGTTCCTGGGAGCAGAAGGAAGCAGCAGGTGAAGAAGCAGGTGCAGGAGAGGGGGTCATCAGGTGCGGGAGGGGGGTCATCTGTGAAGTGCTGCAAGCACAGTAGCAGGACCATTCTGTGTCTGCTTCTTACTAGTGCTTTGTTGATGGGCAAATCGGTTCAACGTTCTGAGCCTTCTTTTCTTCATCTGTACAGTCAGGGTAATAATAATCTACCTTGCAAGACTATGTGAGGATGAGAAGATACACTGCATATAAAGGTGCTGTCTGGAGAACAAAGGCCTCTATAAAAATATTACTGAAAGAAAAAACTTGAAAAAGCAAAGGAGGACTTTCTTCTTCTCTCCCCCCCCGCTTTTTTTTTCTTGTGTTTTAGGAAGCCCTGCACTTCTAACTTGCAGTTTAACTGCTGGCCAGTTAGCCAGTAATTTGCTTACCATCTGTTTTGTGTTGAACATTATCCCATCTCTGAAGGCATAAGACATTCAAATAAGAAATCATGGTTTCCAAGGAGCTGAAATTCTTATGACAACATCAGTTGCATGTAACTTGTAGAAGAAATGTATACCTCCTCTCCCAGTACCCTGCCCTCCCAGTGTCACCAAGCAGAAACAGGGTATGTCCTATATCCATTTATGATGAGCTGATGGGGTCCTCACCCAGGGGTGAGGGAGTCAAACGATGTAGCCTGGGCTTTTCTGACCTATTCATCCCTATTTGGGATTAAACTAACAGGGATATGCATACTACAAAGAAGAATCCAAATGACCATCAAATTGCAAATTAATAGTTGACTTAACATTTTTCATAAGGTAGAGTCCCCCAGGAGAGGTGGCTGCTGTGTTTAGTTGGCTTTTACCCAGTAAACAAAATCATACAGGGGATGTGGCAGCCTAAGGAGTATTTCAACAGCAGGTATCTTTAGAAGAGGCTAGCACAAGTATGTTTTCCAGGAAACTTATAATGGGGTTGGAGAACTTTCTTAAAAAATGGAGTTGGGCAGAAAAGAGGACTGACTTAGTCAGTCTTAATCTCATAAGCCCGCAGAATTAAGAGCATCCTGATCTGTGACCCGGCGGCCTGTCCCTGTGAGGCTGTTGGAGATGTGCGCAGTGACAGTCCTACCTCTGGTTACATCCTTAGCTCCTTGTAAGCCCTTCACCCAAGAATGCCCTTTGTGTATTTCAGAAGGTTGCCTGGGTGTGCATCTCTGGGAGGGGTAAACATGAAGAGGTAAGAAAGAAAGGCCTCCTCTTTTCCCTCCCAGATGGGCTCCGTCAGCTGTGGTCATGAGGAGAGCATTGTTTCTCGGAACAGAGGTTTATCTGGGGCCTTCCCATGGGCTGCAGGCAAGGCAGGAGAGTGGCCTCAGTTCCCCGGACCTCCTGGCCTTGCGTTCCGTCCAGAGGAGAGCCATTACCCTCTCGATCTGTAACATAGTGGATTTCCACCTGGGGGCTTGTTTGAAGCAGGGCCTGACGAAACTCAGTAAGCACTAGTGTTTGTCAACAAGCCGGCGGTACTCCCGCTCCCACTAACGCTGATTCTGGTACACACCACACAAAAATCGGGTGGCGTGAGGGGCAGATAATCAAGTGTCACATTTCAGGGAGGGCTTGCCCCGTTTGCTCTTAGGCCTTGTTTATGTTTGTCATGTTTTCATGTCTAGATTACTCCTGTGTTTGCTACAATGAAAAGATCTTGATTAGGCCAATTTTGTTCCTTTGATATGAGTTCATTATTTTCACCTGTTTCCTCTGAGGAAAAACGTATCTCCAATATTTTGTTCTCACCATGTTTTCTTGTTTTGATATCTGATATTTATAAGTGCATTTTGAGATGTCAGCAGGTGTGTAATAGGGTATCCGTATAAAGAAAATTCTAGTTAACAATTTGCAATTCTGTATGTGTGGAGAACAAATACTTTGTTCTGTTTCTCTTTGCATGTTTAGCCTATTTTATATATGCTAGTGAATTTTTATTTTTAATTTTTTAAAGTATTCTTTACATAAACATAGCATACATACAGAAGAATGCACAAATCATAAGTGTACCTCTTGATGAACTTTTGCACAGTGTATATACTTATCGCCATCCAGATCAGGAGGAGAATAGTGCCAGCGTCCATGGGCCCCTTTCCAGTTATCGTCCCCCAGGCCCAGTGCTAACAGCGGACATTTATCAACATGGACTGGGTTTGCTTGTTTTTAAACTAGATAAAAATGGAGAGGTACAGAACGTACCGTTTCACTCTGACTTTTGCTCACATTTTATCTGTGAGATTCAGCCATGTTTATGTTGTATCTATTTTTACCTGGTTCTTTTTCTTTGTTGTATACGATTCCATTGTATGACTTTATCCGGATTTGTTTATTCATCTTACCATTGGTAGGCATTTGCACACTTCCAGCTTTGGTAGCTGCAAATAATGTGCTTTGAACATTGTTTTATCTATCTTTTGGGATGTGGGTGTGGGGCCATTTCTAGGAGTAGAACTGGTGGGTCATAGAAAATGTGTGTGTTTGGCTTCAATAGATACTGCCAAACAGTTTTCCAGAGTGCTTGAACCACTGCATTCACACTGTCAGTGTGGAAGAGTTCTCGTTGTTCCATGCCTTTGCTAACCCTTGGTATTACCAGTCACGTTTATTTCAGTGATACCTCATTATGTCGCTTTAATTTGCACTTTCCTGATTACTAATGGGTTGTGCAACCTTAAAAAAATATTTACTGGCCATTTGCATATCCTCTTTAGCGGTGTGCCGTTTTTCTAGATACAAGGTGTTCATGGGTTGTATATCTTCACTCCGTGACTTCCGCTTCCACTCACTCAATAGGGCCCTAAGGAACACAAGTTCTTAAACTTCATGTAGTACAAATTATCAGCATTTTCTTTTACAGATAGTTCTTTCTGTGTCCCATTTAAGAAATCTTTGCTTACCGAAAGGTCACAAAGACAGTCTCCTCTGCTATCTTTCAGAAGTTTTTTTGTTTTCCTTTCAAATTTAGATTTTCAATCTTTCTAGAATGTGGTTGGATTTTTTGTTTACTTTTGCATGTTGTGAGGATCAAGGTTCTCCAGACCCCGTGGATATCTACTTTCCCAGCACTATTACTGAAAGGATTGCTCTTTGTTTTATTGCTCTGTGCTGATAACAGTGATCTTCAATCACTGTGGGTCTGTTTCTGAATTCTGTCCTTCTATAATTATGTCTGCACCATCGCTATACTCTCTTTAATTAC